GTCATCCCTGGGCAAGAGGAGACTCCACGTGTGTCTGTGTCATCCCTGGGGAAGGTACCACCAGTCCAGAGGGTACCCACACCTGGGTGCCTGATGTGGGGTGCTGGTCACCCCACTTCTCCCTACAGCCACAGATCACCAGCACGAGCCTCCTGAGCCCCCCTGCTCCACGAGGCCTGTCCCTCCTGAGTGCCAGGAGGGTGGTGGCCACTGTCCCCACTCTCAGGCCAGGCCAGCAGCCGAGAGCCAAGTGACACGGCTCCCGCAGCTCTCTGCTCCCCTGCCACTGCAGCGCCCCGGGGGTGCTGGAGCTCGCACCCAGCGTGTCCCCCCGGCGCTGGGAGCCCGGGCCGAGCCTTCCCGCTGCGGCTGGAGCACCGCGGGTCCGGCAGGAGCAGCGGCGGCCGAGCTGGACCGCAGTGCGCCGGGGGCCGTCGCCGCAGCAACCGCCGTCGCCTAGCGCCGCTGTCTCCCGGTAACCCGTCGCCTAGCAATGGGGGATTTTTCACAGCTCGGGATGAAGAGTTGAAAGTTATTTTTAGCCCGGGTTGCGAATCAATAGGCAGCTCCATTCGCTGCCCCGCAGGATGCACGCGCGGGGGGAGCAGGAGGGTCTGTCCAGCCTGGGGTCACCGCGCTGCCACCCCGGGCTCAGCCCCTCTGTGCTGACCCCACAGCGCTCAGAGCTCTTCCCTGCCGGGCTTCTGATTCCCCCTCAGGTTCCCCCATCCAGGCCACGTGCGGGTGAGGGTGGGTGAGGACATGGTGGCTTTCAGCTTCTGTGGGGACCCTCACAGAGAGATGGGGATGGTCACACTGCTGCAGGGACCATTGGACCCTCTCTCACTCTGGGGACCCTCATCTTATTGTGGGGACTCTCAACCAGCCATGAGGACTCTCCTCCAGCTTCTGGGAGCCTCATCCTTTCATGGGAACCTTCTCCTACTAGTGTGGACCCCCACCTTGCCATGGGACCTCTACCTTGCCATGGTGACCTCCCTCTTGCTGTGGTGACCCCAACTTGCCATGGGATCCCCTCCTTTCCATTTGGACCCCTGCTTTGACATGTGAACCCCATCTTTGCTTCGGGGATCCCCGCCTTGCCCTGCCCTGAGGACCCTCCCCCATGCATCCCCTCCTGACATCCCCTGAGCTTCCCAAGCCTTCCCAGGGCACACTCCCACTTTCAGAGACACCATCCTGGAGTCTGGGTGAGAGGAGACACTGAGAGGGGACAAAGCCAGCTGGGTTCCGTGCAGAGGAGCTCAGGTTGTCCCTGCACGTCCCCAGGGACGGGCTGGGAGCTGAGCTGAGGCTCCTGAGCTATTTTTTAAAGACAAGGTGGGTGTCTCCCACAGCCGCAGCTCCTTCGGGAGCTCCCCACGCAGCCTGGGGGGATGGGAAGCTGCGTGGGGACAGGCTGGGGACCCCAGCTCCTGAGCAGCCCTCCAAGGTCCCAGCTGCCCCAAATGTCCCTTTGCCCTTCCAGGGGGTTTTTTTGGGTACAGCCTAGCCTGGAGCATTCCTGCCCATGCCATCCCCACCCATGGCACAGCCTGGAGGGCGCCCAGAGCCACCCCACAAGGACATTTTGTGGGCAGCGTGGATGTCCCAGGGACCTGCCAGAAACTCCAGGAGTGCTGGGGGGAGATGCTCAGGAAAGAAAAACTTTGGGGTGGTCCATCAGGAAGAGACAGGATCATCCAAATACAAAGGAAACTCCTGCAGGAGTGCCCCGTGCGTGGCAGATGGCTCTGGGACAGAGCAATCCTGCATGAGTCACAGCGGATCCAGAGGGGACGTGGAAATGCTCAGGCTGCAAGAATCTGACTTGTGGGGAAAGGCTGGGAGAGCTGGGGCCATCCAGCCTGGAGGAACCCTTCTGGCGTCCTGGTGATACCTGAGGGATCTTGGAAGGGTGACAGAGAGAGGCTTTCTCCAGGAACTGTAGAGGCAGAAGAGGGGAAGCAGTTTTCAGCTGGAAGAGGGTGCGTTTAGATGGGATAAAAGGAGGAATCGCTCTGTGAGAAGCTGGAGGAGCTGTGGGCGCCCCGCGGGGCTGGAGCAGCCCGGCCCGGTGTGAGGTGTCTCTGTCCAGGGCAGGGGTGGCACCGAGGGCTCTTCGGAGGTGCTGGGGACCAGCTGAGTTCTGCTCCCCTGCGGGACGCGTTTTTCCCCGGCCCCACCCGAGCCCCCCGGGTCCCCTGGCCCGGGGGTGGCGGCTCCCGGCCGCCGTGCCCGCGGTCACCAGAGGGCACTGCGAGCCCGAGCATCCCGGAGCGGCCCCGGGGGTCCGGGGCCCAGCGGACACGCAGCGGGGCCCGGCGGCGGCGGGGAGATCCCGGGGGCGGCCGGCACTCGGAGCCCCCCTCCTCCCCAGTGCCAGGGGGACAACACCCTGCGCCAGCCAGGGACAAGGAGGGGGTGGCCGGGGGACACGGGGGACACAGTCAGGGGACGGCCACCAGACAGAGCGCCGGGCAGGGCTGGCTCCTCGGTGGTGGGTGCCCAGAGGTGCTCAGCCCCACGGGCTCTCCGGAGGTCTGAGGCCATTGCGGGGTGCTGAGGGAGCCGTGCCCGCTCCCGGCTCAGCCCCGGCTGCCGTGGCTGCTCCAAAGGGGCTCCGGGACCCCCCGATGGCCGTGCCCCGGCTGCGGGGATGTCCCGTACCGTGTGGAACGAGGGAAGGCAGGGCTGGTGGCGCAGCTGGTGCCGGGGTTTCTCCAGTAACACCAGTTAAGGTGGGTCGGGGGCTGCGGAGGGTCCAGGGGTGCAGCCTCACCCCGGGGCGCTGGCATTACTGCAGACGCTGCCATGTGCCTGCGGGACGGTGGCGCCGTATGCCACCTCCCTGCATGCCAGGGTGTCCCAAGGGAACATCTCCGCAGGGTGCTGAGCACCCCACTGGGCCGGGGATCAGTCTCGGTGGGGAGAGGTCCTTGCGTGGGGACACCAGTGCCTGGTGTCACCCTGCCTCTGGTGCCACCTCGTCCCTGGCACCTGGCCAAAGCCATTGGTGGGGTCCCTGCCTGGCTTCCCTGCCCAGCTCCGAGCTCCGCTGGTTCCTCACTGTGTCACCGGCTCTGGGACCGTGTCCCCTCCATGCCGGGTCTCTGTGACCTTCGGGGGCACAGCCAGACCCTCGACCCAGCCACCCCCCGGCAAACCCCACACGGCAGCTGGTGGGCTCAGCACGAGGGCCAGCGGGCAGAGAGCCGCCCACCAGGCCCCCAGCCCAGCCCCCCGACACCCCGACATCCCGACCCGCTCCACCTTAACCCACTGCCCCTCCGGCCCCTCATTTTCCACGGATTCCAGCAGCATGACTTCTTTCAGCATCATTTCATGGCCGGAGGGTTGTGAATCCTCCTCTCCCGGCCTGCCTCCCCCTCCTCTTCCCCCCTTCCTCTCTTTCTTCCCACCATCCCAATTTACAATCCCTCATTTCCATTCCGCTCCACCCTCTGGCCGGGGACTTTGTTCCCGGCCTGTATCATCCCATCCCAATTGTTCCGTGTTTATTTCAAACATTTTGGCGGGCTGTCACTGGATGGAAACTTAATTAATGGTGGGGTCTGTAGTGGTGGCACAATAGCGGCTGGAAGGGAGGGGGTGGAAAGAAATGCCCAGGTTTGGAGGGGGAAATTCGGGGTTCGGATGTGCTTGACCCCCGTGTCAGGCCCGGCGCCATGTGCCTGGGCTCCCCTGGTCAGAAAATGTCTCCGTGGGGAGGGGGACGCTGCTGGTGGTGGGGGGAGGTTATAAGGAGGTTGGGGAGGGGGCGTAACTTTTGGGGTACACAGTTCTGGGGGGTGTAAGCCAGGGGGTTGTAGTGTGGGGTGTGCATAGCCTGGGTTGCCTGTAGTCTGCGGTGTGTATGGGTTGGGTTGTGCAAGGGTTGGGGTGTGATAATTTGGGGTGCAGAGACCCGTGGTGTGTGTAACTCAGGGCTGGGGGGTGTGTGACTCTTGGGGTGCACAGTTCTGGGGTGGAGGTGTGTAAACCAGGGGGGCTGTAGTGTGGGGTGTGCACAGATTGGGGTGCACCCAGCCTGGAGTGCCCCACATGTGCGTGGCTTGGGGTGTCCATGACCGTGGGTGTGCATGTCCTGGCGTGCACCTGGCCTGGGGTGTGGGCAGGTCTTGGGGTGCACAGTTCTGGGGGATGCACCCACCAGAGAGCTGCAGGCTGGGGTTTTCATAGCCCCGGCTATGACTGTGCACAGCTGGGGTGTCGATAGCCAGGGCTGCCTGCAGCCTGGGGTGTGCAAATTTGGGGTGTACCTGGCCTGGGGTGTCTATAGCCAGGGGTGTGCACAGTTGGGGTGTGCACAGTTTGGGTTGTGCAGTTTGGGGTGCACAGTTGGGATGTTCACAGTTTGGGGTGTGCACAGTTGGGGTGTGCACAGTTTGGAGTGTGCACAGTTTGGGGTGCAGAGTTGGGGTGTGCACAGCTGGGGTGTGCACAGTTTGGGGTGTGCACGGTTGGGGGGTCCACAGTTTGGGGTGCACAGTTTGGAGTGTGCATAGTTTGGGGTGTGCACAGTTTGGGGCGCACAGTTTGGGGTGTGCACAGTTTGGGGCGCTCAGTTTGGAGTGTGCACAGCTGGGCTGCTCCCAGCCGCTGGGGCGTTCCCAGCCCGGGATGCTGTAGCCGCGGCTGTCACAGACATGGGCCTACAGAATTCAGGGTGCACCCCCGGGCGGCGGATCTGACCCCTGGGGTACCCCCAGCCCTGCTCCGGGTCCTGTCCCCCTCCTCAGCCGTGTCCCAGCCCGGTGTCCCCCCGAGCCGCGGGGTGCGGAGAAGCCCCGGGGGCTCCGGGTATGCCGCTGCGGTGGACGCCGGTGCCCCCGGCGGTGAGGAGGGGGCCTCGGGGGCGGCTCCCGTGCCCGCCCCTCCGCCGCCATTGGCGGAAAGTTCGGGGCGCGACGCGGGGTGGCGGCCGCGCTCCCCCGTCCCCGCGGCCCCGGCCCCGGTGCGGGCAGCGCTGCGGGCAGGGCCGGGCCGGGCCGCCCGGGGCCGCCGCGGGCGCGGCCATGTGGGCGCTGCGGGCGCTGTGCCTGGCCGGGCTGGGGGCGGCCATCGGCGGCGGAGCGGCGGACCAGTGCAGCTGGAGGGGCAGGTAGGCACCGGGAACACCGCACCGGGAACACCGGCACCGGGAGCACCGCACCGGGAGCACCGCACCGGGAACAGCGGCCCCGGGGGCGGCGCGCCGGGCGGGCGGGGGTGGCACACGCTGGTCCCCGGATCAGGCAGGTTCATGGGGGAGGGGGAGTCTGCTTTCCCGCCCCCCCCACTTCCATCCTCAGGGCTGAACCCCTCCCGTATCCGTGGGGAGGGTACGGGTGGGACGCTGGGAACCTGCGTCTGCCTCAGTTTCCTCACCCCTGGGTGCGGCTCTCCCCCGCTTTCAGGGATGCTGGTCCCCCTGCGGGAATCCGCGCCTCTCCGGGACCCCGAGCCCTCCACCCGTGAAACCCATCCCCGTGGCCGGCGGGACCCCCGGCCCCCGGCCGGGCCCTAAGCATCGCCCGAAGGCGCCGGACTCCGAACAAAGAGCTGGGGCCCGCCACAGGGACTGCCCCACGCGGGGGGCCTGGGGGGACACGGGGGCCACGCAGCCACCAGAGTCCTGTGAGGGACAAAGCAGCCCCCCGACTGTCCCCACTCCCCCCAGGCTGGCGTCCAGGCGTGTGTCCCCCCCCCCCGCCCCGTCAGTGCCGCGGGAAAGAAGCGGCTCCAGGCATCGTGTGCGAGAGAGGGATCCCAGCATCCCCTGGGGATCCCCAAAGTGGGAACAGGTGACCCCGAGGTTGTGGCCGTTCTGGGGGTGCTTTGGGAGCCCAGACTGGGTGTGAAGGGGGCTGGGCTGCTGCGCCCCTCCCCCCCCCCCTTCCAAAAGGTGCTGGGGGAACACAAGCACCCCAAAACGTTGTGCTTGAACTCCAAGTCCAAGTCATCGAGGGTTTGGTGCTGTTCCTGCCTGTGGCCATCTCGCACACCTCTGTGGAGGGGCTGCCTGGGAGTGCAGGGTCCTGCTGTGCTGGGGGACAGGGGCTGGGGTGTCCCTGTCACCTGGGGGTCCCGCCTGACAAGGTGCTGTGCCCCACAGCGGGCTGTCACAGGAGGCTGGCAGCGTGGAGCAGCTGTCCCTGCATTGTGCCGAGGGCTCGCTGGAGTGGCTGTACCCCACGGGGGCTCTCCGCCTCCGCCTGGCCCCCCGCCTTCCCCCCACCAGCGCCGCCGTCAAGGGCAGGAGCCCCCCGCACGTCACCGCCTGCATCAAACCCACCGGGACCTTCCGGGGGGCTCAGCTCTACCTGGAGAGGGAGGGGGTGCTGGAGCTGCTGCTGCCAGAGGCCCCCCGGCCCCACGCCCGCTGCTTCAGCTGGCTGCCCCAGGAGAAGGTGGCTCTGTTCCTGCAGGCCACCCCGCAGCCCGACATCAGCCGCCGCATCGCCGCCTTCCGCTACGAGCTGCGGGGGGACTGGCTGGCCCGGCCCGCGCTGCCCACCGCCAGCCTCGGCGCCGAAGGTGAGCGCCTCACCCTGCCTCAGTTTCCCTGCCCCTGCCGGGTGCCCACAGGAGTGAGGAGGGGCTGGATTGAGTGTTGTCCCCCGGGTGGTGACAGGCTGTGCTTGGCCTCGCAGGTGCGTGCCGGCCGTGCAATGACACCGAGATCCTGATGGCCATTTGCACTAGTGACTTTGGTGAGTGCAGCCCCCGGGGCTCGGGGACCGGGGGTGGCCCCGAAAGTGGCACTGGGACAGCTGGCTGGGCTGGGCTAGTCGGGCTGGGCTGGGCTGGCATGGGCTGGGCTGTGCAGAGCACTGCTAGGGATGGGGATGGGGATGGAAATGGAGCTAAATACAGGGACTGGAATGAGAATGGGAATGGAAGTGGGGATGGGGTTGGGGGTGGGAAATGGAAATGGGATGGGGATGGAGATGGGAACAGGAGTGGGAGAGGGAATGAGACAAGAATGGAGACGGGGATAAGGATGGGAATGAGAATGCAGGTGGGGACAGGGACTGGGATGGGGATGAGGATAGGGATGCACATGGGGACAATGATGGAGATTGGGGATGGAGACAAGACTGGGGATGTGGACGGCAGCGGGGATAGGCACAGGGCCGTGCTGACACCCCTCCCTGCCTTCCCCCCGCAGTCATCCGCGGCAGCATCCGGAGCGTCTCCAACGACGCAGAGCTGCAGGAATCCATCATCGGGGTGAGCGCCACCCGCATCCACCGCCAGAAATTCCCGCTCTTCCAGGCGGGCGGGCGGGCGGGGCGGCCGGTGGGCAGCATCCGCACCCCCCTGCGCTGCGGGGTCAAGCCGGGCCCTGGCACCTTCCTGTTCACGGGGTGGCTGCACTTCGGGGAGGCCTGGCTGAGCTGCGCTCCCCGCTACCGGGACTTCCAGCGCATCTACGAGGGGGCCCAGCGCACGCGCCAGAACCCCTGCGAGTTCCCCGTGGACTGAGCGGCTCCGGGAGCGCAGCCCGGCCCCGCCGGGGGACCACGGTCCTGCCACCACCGAGAGCATCCCCAGGGGACACGGGAACGTGCCCAGAGGGAGCGTGGCACACAGGCCTCGCCACGTAGCCGGGCTGTGGCAGCACTCGCCGGCGGGCTGGGGGTTCTGGGAAAATCCCGCTGGAAGGGAAGGGATTTTCCCAGGGCGTGCTTGTCCAGGGTGCCCAGGGAGCTGCCTGGGTGAGGGGTGCAGCGGTGTGGGGTCGGGGCTCCCAGGGGACCGGGGTGCTGCATGCTCAGGGGATGCTGTGGGCACAGTGGGTCTGGCACCAGGGGGGCAGCTGGACCCCCGGACCCCAGCAGGGCTCGGGGGTGGGTGGCCATGGTGGCCGGTCCAGGGACACAGTAGGCACAGAAGGGAGTGGAAGGGCCAGGAGATGGATCTGTAAGGTTGGGGGTGGAAGGGGGAGCAGGCAGCGGTGAGCCTGGCCCTGGCATGGGCAGGAGCTGCGGGGCGGATGCCGAGGAAGAGGAGAGAAGCTGAAGGGAGCGAGGGGAGCGGTGAGGTGGGAGGAAGGCTGGCATGAGGAGAAGAGGTGTCCTTGGCACGGTCAGGGCAGGACCAAAGCGCCGAGCAGGGAGGTGCCATGGGAGCAGGCAGGGGTGACCGTGCCACCCGTCCCCGCCAGCCCTCGGGTGAGCGGGGCAGGCCGTGCCAGCCGCGGGGAATTTTTGACCATGGGGGTGGGGGGCATCGCATGTGCACTAAAGTTATAATGATACCAAATTTGTGACTTCTTTTTTATAAACTAAGCTGTATTTGTAGCGTGTGCCTCCTGTTTTTAGCAAGGCGAGCAGGACGGTCACCAACAGGCACTGCGGTGTGTGCCACCTGCTCCCCTCTGTGCCAGCTCCAGCTGTGACCCTGCCTCCCACGGGGCTGGAAACAGCCCTGATACTTGGACATCTCTCTCTATGGAGAGATTTATTGCTGTTTGCACATTCTGCACCCCAGTGATCCCCAGCATGGGTCACTTTGTGGTCCCTTTCCCTGGGTATCCCTGGGTGTGGGGACCAGGGGCGGGTGGCCCCGTGCTGGGTGGGTGACCCTGCTGGTGGAGCCGCTGTCAGGACTGATTCTCGTCAGAGCCACCGGCCACAAGGCCTCATTGTGCCCGATTGTGCCGCGCCAGCATCCCAGCCCTGCCCGCTCCCGCCCCGCCGCTGGCCCCTCCGGCCCCAGCACCGGCTCTGCTCCCCTGGGAATGCTGAGGGGGACGGGACAGGGACAGGGATGGGACGTGGGAATCCTGCATGGGGACGGGGAACAGAACCCTTGGTCAGGGAAGGGACACGGAGTCCCCAGGCAGGGATGGGACATGGGGCACGAGGTTGGAAATGGGGGACTGGACCCCCCCTAGGCATGGGACATGGGAATGGGGCTCAGCACCCCCAGCCAGGGACCTTTCCTCCCCACCAGTGATGCCACAGGGCTCAGCACAGGAAATCTCAGTGCCTGAGCCCCCCCAAACCCCTCGAGCCCCCCAAACTACTCAAGCAAAGCTCCTGCCACATGTCTGCTTGTACTTAACACCTTTCCAATTTTGTTTCAATGACACTTTTTCAAATATCGCCAGCCAGGATGAACTGCTGCTGAGTATTCGGTGCCTCTGCTGACCACAATGTGCTTTTCCTTGCCAAAAAAAGTTTCCAAAGAATGCTGTGGGATTTGGAGCATAATTAAATATAAATATCTATATGTGTGTGTGTATAGAATGATCTGGCTGTGATAAGATCCTGGTGGGTTTGATATACAACACATGTTTTCCCTTGAGGAGAGTTTGCTGCTTACTTTATGCTTTACTGCCAATTTTATACTTGGATATTTTGATTTTATCCTTTTTACTGCCCCATTTTGGGGCCAGCCTGGGCTATGAGGGCTGGCTCTGGCCCTGGGGAGGCTGAAGCTCCACGCTGGGCACTGGAGGATGCCAGCATCCCCCTGGATTTTGGCAGCAAGCAGGAGCCAAGCGAGGCAGGGGGAAGGGGGAAGGAGTGGGAAACCCAGCGGAGGAGGAAAAATGAAGCTGGAAAAGCAATAAATGAGGTGCAGAGGGAATTGTGCTGCCCACGGCATCCTCTGTATGCGCGGGGGTAAATCACGGCTGCTCCGACCCCGCCGCAATCCAGCACATTCCTCCCGGCTAAATGTCGGCGTTTAACGCGCGGGGCATCCGGCACTTTTCTGCCCAGCAGCAAAACCTCTTGTTTTTCTTCCCATCTGTTTATTTGGCCAAAGCAGCTCGGTGTGCTGCTGCGGAAAGGGCTGTTACTCCGCTCGTTTTCTGGCACAGGGGTTTTTGGGCTGTTTTTGGTGCCCTCTGCCCCCTGTCAGGTTGGGTCGCCCGCCCTCGTTTCCCCCGGCTGTCGCTGCCACAGCGCTGGGCCCCGGCCAGGGCACTAACAATTCCCGTGGGATCATCCCACGGGATAACCAGGCAGCCCATGCCTCAGTTTCCCCTCTGTGAGACGGGGCTAACAGCCCTTCCCTGTGGCCCAAGGGAACCAGATGGAATCCCACAGCTCTGGGATCTCTGTCGTTCCAGGACTGGCCATCCCAGCATTTCCCCGAAAGCAGAGTCCTGCCCCAGCCGAGCCAAATTCCTGCCCGGCCTCTTGGCACACAGCAAGGCCACGAAGGGTGAAAACACAATAAGACAAACTCCATCCCGGGGAATATTTCCTCCACAGGACGGAAAATGTGGTGGGAGGCAGCAGGGTGAGGGGAGCGGGATGGGGACACCGAGTGGAGCTGGGGGGGTCAGGAGGGGCTCGGAGTGGGGTGACCACGGTGAGGGGTTGTGGCAGCACCCGGGAAGGACAGGGCAGGGTGGCCCTGCCTGTGGGTGCCATGGTGCCCACCACGGGGATGATCCAGCCAGACCTGCTCCAAAAGCCCCCCCAGTCATCAGCCTGCCCCACACGGGGTGGGCTTTGGGGAAGCCCTGGAGAGCAGTGCCCCAAAGCAGCCCCCTCGGTGCAGATGTGCCCAGGGACGTGCCTGGGGCTCCTCATTCCGTGGGATCAGCCCCACTCTGGAGCCAGGCATCCACGCAGCCGAGATCGGGAACCTTCTGGGGACTGTGGAGCCCTTCAGTCACGCTGCGGGTGGGCGTCCGCATCGGGATGGCAGAACACGGAGCGGTGGCACTGCCGGGTGTCCCCGGTCCCTGTCCCCATCCCTGTCACACAAAGGGAGTCGCCGTTTCCCGCCATTTCCCCCCTCCAGCCCTTCTCCCCCCTCTCCTGCTCCCTTCGCCCTCCTCCTTCCCGGCTGTCGGATAAAAGCCCGAACGTGTGAATCGCGGGGCACAAAGGGGAGGCACAAAGGCGGCCGGGCCTGCTCAGCCCTCCCTGTGGCCCCCAGCACCGAGTGGGGACCCCCAGGGACCCCCGGGCAGCCTGCCCACCCTGCCGGCAGCACCCCAGAGCTCAGGGGCTGCCGTGGGGCACAGGGGTGGCCCTGAGATCAGGGGATCCCCAGTGGGGTCAGGGTGATGTCCCTGGGGTTCAGCGAGTCCCTATAGGGCCAGGATAAGGTCCTGGGGTTTGAGGATGCCCCATAGGGTTGGATGATGCCCCTGGGATCAGGGGGAACCCCATAAACTCAGGATAAAAACCCTAGGGCTCAGGGGTACCCCTTAGGCTCCAGATGCCTCTGAAGTTTAAACTCAGGATGAAGCCCCTGGGGTCCAGGATGAGCACCTTGGGACCGGAGGAAGCTCTACCCCACAGTCCTCGGCAAGAGGAGAAGCGAAAACCCGATAACTCTGAGGACACCCCCACAACGCTGCCACCCCCTGGGGAGCTGTACCCTCAATCCTGGCATCAGGTCTGCTTCCAGCCCCATCCTCTGACCCGGACAAAGCCAAGGCAGCACTATCCCAGCACGGGGAGGGATGCCGGGGCTGGAGCCGGACCCCGGCCTGCAGCAGGGCCCCCTCGGCCCCTCACCCCCGTCCCCCGCGTCCGGCTGCCGACAGCTGGTGGGAAGCGCTTTCCCAGCACATAGCGACAAATTCCTGGCGGTCAGAGCTGCTTTGCAGCCGCCGCGGCCCCGGCGGGGGAAGCTGCCCTGGAAAGAGGAGGATTAAAAGCTCTTTGGCTCCAATGACACGTCGCAACCGGTCCCCTCGCACGGCCACCTGCTCGTCCCGGCGCTCCGAGATGCTGCGGGCACCCCGGGGCAGGGGCAGGAGGGGACCGGCCACCCCCCTGCTAAATCCCAGGGGCCCGGCAAGGAGGGCTCAGCCCTGCCTGGGTATTGCCTCCTGAATTAATTCGCTCTGCAGCACCGCAGGGGCGCTCGGGCGGCTCCAGGAGCGGCTCATCCCCGCGGACCATCCTCCTCCTCTGCAGCCCCCGGCCCCCGGCTTCCCCCGGCTCCGATTTCCCTGGATTTTCTGCTTTAACCAGCTCCACCTGCCAGCAAGAAAGAGCAGAAAGCGGAAAATCGGGGTGATCCCCGTAGCCCCGCTTGGCCACGCCGGGCCCTTTGGGGCGGCAGGGGAGGGAGCAGCCCCGGGATGTGTTTTGGGGGCGGCTTCAGCTCCCCGCTGGAGCCCCACTGCTGCTCCCGGGAACGTGATTAATGGGATCTGGTGTTGTCAGTGCCCTGAGCTGTGTGTCTGGGGGTAGAACACGTGTGTGGGTGTGTGTGCATCCTCATCCCGCTCGGTTCCCACAAATCAGGGGGAGGCGGGAGCAGGAACACTCCTGCCCTTGGCTCATCCCCAAAGAGGGGCTCCGGGGGGCTGGGGCTGGGCCTGTGCCGGCCCCAGCACTGAGGAGCGGGAATCCCACTTCCCAGTTCTGCTTCCCTGCACCCCAAAGCCATTCCCAGCACGGGGCCGGGGTCTCTTCTCCACTGGGAACGGCCCCAGAGACACCGAGGCACAGGATGAGGTTGGTGGTCCTGCGGCAAGGACATGGGGGCCACCAGACCCCCCAGGCTCTTAGGGGACACCCCGATAAGGTGCTGGAGGAGGACCCCCCGCAAACCCCACGAATGCTGACCCACAGGCTGAGGAGAGAGCGGGGGGAGGTGACAGCAGTGGCATCCCCGGTGACATGTGGCCGTCCTGGCAGGGGGCTGCGGCCCTTTGTGCCTTCTGAACGGGTGTTGTTCCCGCGTTTGGGCTGCTTGGGGGGGGTCACTAATTGGGGGTGGGCAGGGGCTGCGGGGCCTGGCTGTCCCCCCCCACGCCAACGCCTGGAATTTTCCCACAATCGCTGCTGCCTCGCAGCAGGAAAGCCGCGGGCTGAGGCAGCAGAGCCCCTACAGCCCCCAACAACCCCTACAGCCCCACACGGGTGTGCACAGCCCCTACAGCCCCCAACAGCCCCTACAGCCCCACACGGGTGTGCACAGCCCCTACAGCCCCCTACAGCTCCACACGGGTGTGCACAGCCCCTACAGCCCCACACGGGTGTGCACAGCCTCTACAACCCCCTACAGCCCCCTACAGCCCCACACGGGTGTGCACAGCCTCTACACAGCCCCTGCAGCCCCTACAGCCCCACACGGGTGTGCACAGCCCCTACAGCCCCCTACAGCTCCACACGGGTGTGCACAGCCCCTACAGCCCCACACGGGTGTGCACAGCCCCAAACAACCCTCACCAACCTCACATGGTTGTGCACAGCCCTCAACAATCTCACACAGGACTGTGCACAAAAGCAGTAAGCACACACAAATCCATGCACAGCCCACTAGGAGTGTCAACACCCGTGCAGGACCGTGCACAACTGCACACAGCTGGGCACAGCTGCACATGGCAATGCACACACAGCCGTGCAGAGGCAGTTGTGCACAGCTGGGCACCACTGCACACAACCCTGCTCACCCTGCTCACCAGGACAGCGGCAACAGCCCTGCAGGACCGTGCTCAGCTGTATAAACCCGTGCACAAGCACACACACAACCACTCACAGACCTGCACAACACCCACAGCTTCACACAGCCATGTTCCTCTGTGCACAGCTGTGCACGGCCACGTGCAGCCATCAGAACCCTTCAGCCAGGTGTGCACAGCCCTGCACAGCCTCACAGAGCTGTGCAGCAGTGCACAAACACACAGACCTGTGTGTCACATTACAGACACAGCCGTGCACAGCTGTACCTGGCTGTGCACAGCTGGACCACGATTCACTGCTGCACACAACCGTGCTCGGTCACACACAGCCGCACAGAGCTGCAGCCCTGCACAGCCCCACACAAACTGTGCACAGACACAGAGTGCACAGAGCTGCAGCCACTCACAGCCCCACACAAACCATGCACAGACACAGAGTGCAGCCACTCACAGCCCCACACAAACCGTGCACAACACACACAGCTGCTCCCCAGCACACACAGCCCATCGTGCACAGCACAGAGCAGCAGACCCCTGCACACGACAGCCGTGCACAGCCTGCACAGACACACACAAACACACACAGACACAGACACAGACACACACACAGACACACACACACACACAGCTGTTTTCACACAACCACGCCGAGCTGTGCCACTCCTGCAGCCCCGGGGCGGGGGCAGCGCGGATCCCCCGGGCGGTGTTCCCGGTGTCCCGGAGCCGTGTCCCTGCCGTGCCCTCCCCGTGTCCCCGGTGTCCCGGACCCATGACCCTGCCGTGCCCTCCCCGTGTCCCCGGTGTCGCGGGGCCGCTCCCGGCGGAAGGATCGCGGCCGTGCTCCCCTCCCCTTCCGGCGGCCATGGAGCCGGGCTGGGATCTGGCCCTGGAGCCGGGCTGGGAGCCGGGCGAGCCGGGCGAGCCGAGCTGGGCCCGGCCCGGGGGCGCGCTGGGCGGCCGGGGGCTGCTGGCGCTGGCCGTGGCCAGCGGGGCGGCCGTGTGGGCCACCTGGGCCGTGCTGCTGATGCCCGGCTTCCGCCGCGTCCCGCTGCGCCTGCAGGTACCGCGGCCCCCCGAGCCCTGCCCCCGGCCCCGCTGCGCGGCCCCCGTGACCCGCTGTGCCCCCCAGGTGCCCTACCAGCCCTCCAGCCCCCGGCAGGTGGCCAACACCCTGGCACTGCTGCGGGGCCGCGCCGGCAAGACCGTGGATCTGGGATCCGGAGATGGACGGCTCGTAAGGCTCCGGGGGGTTTGGGGTGTCCGGGGGGGCGAGGGTGGAGGGGAGACCCCCACCCGGCTGCTGCCTGGCTTATGGCTCTGTGTCTGGGAGGTCCTGGCTGCGGTCCAGGACCATCCCCGGTGGACCCAGAGGGTCCTCAGTGGTCTTAGACAGCTGTAGGTGGTTCTAGATTGTCCTGGGTGTCTCTAGGTGTCCCTAGGCTGTCCTCGATTGTCCCAGACTGTCCTTGGTGGTCCTAGGTGACCCAGCATGGTCCTAGGTGGCTCTAAACAGCCCCAGGTGGTTCTAGGCAGCCCTAGGTGGTCCAGGGTGGTTCTAGATGGCCATAGGTGATCTCTGGCAGCTCTAAAAGACACATGCAGGGAGCAGGGTGGGAATGAGGGAGTGGGTGGTGCTGAGCTCCGAGCTCACCCTGCCTGGGAGCCAGCAGGATGGGGTGAGTGGAGCTGGGCAGCAGCCCCTGCCCACCCAAATCCTGCCCCAGGCTCAGCACTGGGGTGCTTTGGCTTTCAGCCCTCCCTGTCTCCCCCTCCAGGTGCTCGAGGCTTACAAGCAGGGGCTGAGGCCAGCCCTGGGCTATGAGCTCAACCCCTGGCTGCTGTGCCTGGCCAACTACCGTGCCTGGAAGGCTGGGTACCACGGGAAGATCTCCTTCCTGAAGAAGGATCTGTGGAAGGTAACAGCATCCCGAGGGTCTGGATATGCTCAGGGCAGGGTCAGAGCTCTGTTTGCCTCTCCAGGATGGATTTGCTGATGGCTGCTTGCTCCTTCCCCATCCCACACTGCTCCTGGGAGGTGGAAATCCATCCTGCTTTCCAGGGAATGCCAGCTGGGGCAGCCCGTGGCCAGTTCTGCTGCTTGGAGCAGCTCTGAGGAGAGGTCTGGATGCTGCTGACAGGCTCACTTGCAGAGATGAGCTTCTCAGGCTGACATGAGGTATTTGCAGCCTGAGCAGAGAGAATCCATCAGGGAATGTTGGTCTGGGATGGTGCTGGGGGCAGGTGTTTCCCAAGACATGCTGCTTTCACACCCACACTTCCCCATCCCACATCTTTTGTGGCATCTTTGCTCCCTGCAAGGTTCCAAAGATCACCCACAAGGTTTGGACACTCAAACAGTTGTTCCTGCTCTGCCTGCTGCTCGTTATTCCCCTTTCCCTTCTGTTTTCAGGTGAATCTCTCTGACTGCCACAACGTGATCGTGTTCCTGGCCCCCAGCGTGGTGAGTCAGCCCCTCACACCCCGAGTTCTTCTGGGCCAGCTCGAGGGGGCTTGTCTTGTGAAACAGAGGGGATCTGGGATGGGATAAGGCCAGGTGGACATCCCTGTGGCTGAGTGGTTTGGTGCTACACAGCATTTATATTTATGGAATCATGGAGGTTGGAAAATCCCTCTGGGATGGAGTCCTGCCATTCCCCCAGCACTGAGCCATGTCCCCAAGTGCCACATCCATGTTAAAGCCCGGCAGGGATGGTGACCCCACCACTGCCCTCAGCAGCTGTGCCAGTGCCTGACCACCCTTTCCATGAAGAAATTTTCCCAGTATCCAACCCGAGCCTCCCCTGATGCCACTTGAGGCCGTTCCTCTTGTCCTGTTGCTCACCGCTTGCTCCAAGTCCCAGCCTTACCCAGGGCCAGTACCAGCCCTCTGCTTTGAAGGGTCGATGTCCCAGAAGCTGCCCCACGGTCCCTGGTGGCACTGCCACAGTGTAACTGTGTCCTAAGGCTGCCTGTCCCTGGCTGTGTCTCTCCCCAGAAGCCTCCCTTGGCCAGCAAGCTCCTGGCAGAACTGCCCGACGAGGCGCGGGTGGTGGCAGGACGCTACCCCTTCCCCTCCTGGAGCCCCAGCAGCACCCTGGGCCAGGGCCTGGACCAGGTCTGGGCCTATGACATCAAGGATGTGCGGCGGGAAGTGCAGGGCAGCGCCCAGGAAAGCCGGGTCTGACCCCAGCCTCGTTAAACCCGGTTTAACAGCAGCCTCCTTAAGCCTGGCATTAAGGGTCAGAGCCACTCCAGCCCTTGGCTCAGCTCAGGACAGAAGTGCTTGGCCAGCATTTGCCCTGGGGACTTGCAGGGTGGCAGATCTTCATTTTTCCAGAGTGTGAGCAAAGCAAGGGAGGAGAAAAATCAGACCTGGAAATCCTGGGGTTAACGCAGGATTGAAGGGATGACGCTCCAGTGCCTCTTTTTGGATGATTGCTGCTTTATTTCAATTTAAGTTTTAAATTAAGAACTTTAAAAATAAAGTTTTGGTTGATTATTCCTCTGAGGTTTTTGCTTTGTCTTTGAGCTGCTGGATGGTCCTGGAGTTGGAGCAGCTGCTGCTCCTGGAGTTGGGCTTTGCTCTGCCATCTTTTCCAGCTCACCTCTGTGCAGGATCAGTTTGGCCCTGCTTGTCAATGTAATATTCCATTTTCCACTCAAACACAGAGGAAAATGGGGTTTTCCTGCCACAGAGTCACAGAATCATGGAATTGGTTGGGTTGGAAGGGACCTTGAAGCTCCTCATTCCACCCCCTGCCATGGGCAAGGACACCTTCCACTGTCCCAGGTTGCTCCAAGCTCTGTCCAACCTGGCCTTGGGCACTGCCAGGGATCCAGGGGCAGCCACAGCTGCTGTGGACATCCTTTCACCACCCTCCCAGTAAAGGAGCAGCTCATCCCTTTGTCCAAGCCCAGAACAAATCCTGGTCTGAGCCAGCCTTGGCTCTGTCTCAGGGGTGAGGGGAGCGAGGCAGGAGCAGCCTTTGGTCCAGGTCCAGGTCTCATCCAGGAAAAAATGTTCCAGCAGGAGCAGGAACCTGTCCCTGCAGCCCAGCAGTGAAGAGCTGCCTGGGATCCCTGCCCCGTGTCTGAGGGGTGCTCAGGGAAGAGCAGAATTCCTGCAGCCTGGCGGGCACAGACCAGACGCCGTTGTCTGGTCTCGTTTTACTCCTGTGAATTTAAGAGCAGAAACACCCACGTGGTTTCTCCCGCTGTTCCCACCTCCCAGCCTGAGAGGGATCCTTGCCTGGCACTCCGTGAAGCACAGACCTCCCTTGCAGTGGGGCATTCCCAAGGCTGCGGCTGCTCTGGCTCGTGGCTGGCACGGGGCACTGGGGGCACCTCGCTGCCCTCAGCGTTCCTCAGCCGCAGGATCTCCTGCTTGTACCTGCAGCGGCAGTGCCACTGTCACCCCTCACAACGAGCAGTGTGGCAGTGCCACTGTCACCCCTCACAACGAGCAGTGTGGCAGTGCCACTGTCACCCCTCACAATGAGCAGTGGCAGTGCCACTGTCACCACTCGTGGTCCCCAGGCAATGAGCCATGCCAGGAGCTGAGCCTGGCATGCAGATCCCATGGCCTTTCCCAAAGAACGGGCGTTCATGGGCTGTGCCGGGTGAGGGCACAGCCTGAGCCAGCCCACAGCCGGGGAGGCACAGCAGGAGCAGGGGGATCATGCCCTGCCACACCTCCCCTGCTTGTCCTCTCCCTTCCCTGCTGTTCTCCCTGCTCCAGAGCAGGATGAGCCAGGGAGAGGGGAACACAGATCAGGGGCAGCTGGGAGGACTTAGGTTAGAACCTGTGAACAAAAGAACTCTAAAGGTTTTAGATTAGGCTTTAGGTTTTAGGTTCCTGTGAAGGTTGCAGGGAAACCTTAGAGCACCTTCCAGTGCTTAAAGGGGCTCCAAGAGAGTGGGAGGAGGACTTTGGACAATGGCATAAGGTGACAGGGCATGGGGAATGGCTTTGGATTGGCAGAGGGCAGGGATGGATGGGATACTGGGAAGGAATTGTTCCCTGGCAGGGTGGGCAGGCCCTGGCACAGGGTGCCCAGAGCAGCTGTGGCTGCCCCTGGATCCCTGGCAGTGCCCAAGGCCAGGCTGGGCAGGGCTTGGAGCAGCCTGGGACAGTGGGAGGTGTCCCTGCCATGGCAGGGGCACTGGGTGAACATTTGTGTCACTTCCAACCCAATCTGTGACTGTGATTCCTCCCAAGGAGGGATGAGCATGCAGGGAAGGACATGTGTGCTGTGTGAGGTGTGTCTGTCCTGCTGCCCTGTGGCACAAGGGGTGGTGGCAGCTGCCTGCACAGCTGGAGGAGCAGTGGGACACGGGCTGTGCTGGCAGGCTGTGGCAGGGCTGGCAGTGGGCACGGGGACAGCGCTGGCACCAAGCCTGGAGAGGGATCCCCTGTCACCTGGCAAGGTGCTGGTCGATGTACCCCTGCAGCTCTGACACCTGCTCCTCTGCCACCACAGCCCGAGCCAGCAGCTGGCTTCTCTGCTGCTCCAGGTGCTCCTGCAGGGGCACAGAACATGGAGAAAATGTGGAAAAAAAGAGATCCGTGCCATGGGAGTGATGCTGCTCAGCCCCTCTCTGCTGCGTGAGTCCGACCTTCTGACCACTTCCCCACCACTCCAGCCTCTCTGCCACAACATCTCCCTTCTTTTGGCCACAGAGGTAGGCCCCATGCAGGTGTGGAGCTTTACATCCCCAGGGAATGGTGGAGAACTCCCTCAGGTTGCTGTGGACAGGGACAGGCAGGACATGGAAGGGAATATCCCTGCAGCCAGCAGGAACCAGGCTGGGAAGCTGATTCAGATTCAGCCTAAACTAGAACCAGGCTGAATAGAATCACAGAATTGTGGAATTGTGTCGGTTGGAAAAGCCCACTAGAATCCAGGTGTTAACCTGGCACTACCAAGGCCACCACTGACCCATGTCCCCAAGTGCCACATCCATGTGTCCTATAAATCCCTTCAGGGGTGGTGACCCTGTCACTGCCCTGGGCAGCTGTGCCAATGCCTGACCACCTTTTCCATGAAGGAATTTTCCCAATATCCAACCTAAACCTCCCCTGGCACAGCCTGAGGCCGTTTCCTCTCCTCCTGTCCCTGTTCCCTGGGAGCACAGCCCGACCCCCTGGCTGTCCCCTCCTGTCAGGAGTTGTGCAGAGCCACAAGGTCCCCCCTGAGCCTCCTTTTCTCCAGGCTGAGCCCCTTTCCAGCTGCCTCAGCCTCTCCTGGTGCTCCAGCCCCTTCCCCAGCTCTGTTCCCTTCCCTGGACCCCCTCAAGCCCCTCCGTGTCCTTCCTTTCTTGAGTGGCCCAAAACTGCCCCCAGGACTGGAGGTGTCCCAGCAGTGCCAGCACAGGGCAGCAACCAGCCCCAGTTTATTCCAGAGATGCCAAAATGTTTTTCTGAAACGTGGGCAGGAGTGACCAGGGGCTGCTCTCCTTGCTTTAGCAGCAGGGACAGCAAAGCCTGGAGACACCAGCAGCTGGGACCTGCCAGCATTGCTTGGAGGGCTGAGGCCAAAGCCGCAGCAAGGCTCCATGGAGAGTGATCCCCAGGGAATGGGCACAGCCCCGAGGCTGCCAGGGCTCCAGGAGGGTTTGGACAATGATCTCAGGGATGCCCAGGGTGGGATTGTTGGGTGTCTGTGCAGGGCCAGGAGCTGGGCTGGATGATCCCTGGGGGTTTTTCCCAGTCAGGACGTTCCGTGACTCCATGGAAGTTCCCCCCTCCAGGCTGGAGCAGCCCCAGGGCAGGGGCTGAGGCAGCACATCTCTGCTGTGGGTGAGAGATCAGCCTGGCCTCCAGTGGGCTGCTCCAGAGCTTTACCTGGGTGTTGAGAGTGAATTCCCGGAGCTTCCTCCTGACCTCTGCCCAGCCCTCCTCATCCAGCTGCCTGTGACAGAGGAGCTCCTGTGGATGGTGCCCAGACACCAAACCCAGCCCTGCCAGATCACACAGCTCCACAGAGCCGGTGCCCATCCCACCACGATCCCCAGAACCAGAACCTTTCCTCTCCCAGTGCCCAAACCCCCTCAGGGCACGCAGCTTGGCCTGTGGCTATGGAACATGTGTTACACAGGTCAAAGCCAAGGTTTGCTGACCATCCTGAGCATCCCTCAGAGCTCTGCTGTCATGTCATCTACTTCCACTTTCCAACTTGTCTCTTTCCAGAAGCCTGGAATGTTTTCCTTCTACATATAAGAAAGCCTTACCCAAAATAAAACTTTCTGGTAAAGAGTAATAACTGAATGACATTCCTCCTTCCTCTTTATGTAGTTTAGCTGGTTACCCCCAGGGAGAGCCAGAGCTGGGCTCTGGGTGCCTCCCAGCCCAGCCCGTTCCCTGGCAAAGGCAGCGGGAGCTGCCGGAGCACCACGGCTCCTCTGCGGCTGGAGGAGCCAGGTAAAGCACACGGCTTAACCCAGCAGAACCTGGAGCGTCTGGGCTCTCGTGGCAGTTAAAAAAACCCCAAATGATGAGATGCATCACTGAAATTCAGGTTGTGGACTTTGCATGCCCTGCTCCTGTGGTGTCTGCCCAAATTGCTGCATTTACTCACGGACCACGGCTATTTTCAGTGTGGAACACGTGGCAGAGGCTGGTTGAGGCTCAGGCTTGTGCCTGAGACACCCCTCCAGAGCCCAGGGGCTCTGGCACTCACCCTCTCCTCAGTGCTGGCATCCAGCTAATGGAATATCTGACATGTTTTCTAGGTGACCACGTCTTTTAGAGAGCTGAAAAGCCCCAGCTCAGGTTTCTCCTGTGCTTTGTTCCACCCCTCCACAGCTACAGCTGGTTGAGTTTTAGCAGGATAATGGAGCCGGGGGAAGAGACCCATCAAAATTTAGCAGTTTCAGGGTTTGTTAGTGTCCTGGTTCAGGGAGTCAACCCAGGACAGTTGGGAAGCCAGGGAGGTGTCAGCACAGTGCCACCCAAGGGTTCCAGACAAACTCCTGTGCTGGGAAGAAGGAAAAATGAGACCATCCCAAATGGGTGGTGTCTCACGGGCCTCTCTCACGTTGTGATCCACCAAAGCATTGGGCATGTGCTTAACTTCAGCTTTTAAAGAGGTCAGTGGGGCTAAAAACATGATTAAATCAAATATGTGCTTAAGAGCTTTCTTGGATCAAGGCCCAGTGACCAAGTCTCTTCCTGCAGGAAGAGGGGACAGCTGCCTCCTCTTCCCAGAGCAGGCCCAGCAGCTCCCTTTCCCTGCCTATTGCTGCCTCCAGCCAGGCAAAAAAAGATCCCTCAATCCAGACATCCATGGGAATTTGGAATGGCAGATATCCCAAGAAAGAAAGAGCACTTACTGCTCCGGAGGCACTGGGAAGGCAGAGGCTCCTTTCAGGCTTTTCTGGAGGCAAAGGAAGAACAGAATTCCTGTAAACATGAACCCATTGCAATCCCAGATCCTGCCACTCAGAGAAATCTTGCCATGGAATGGGTTAGGCTGGAAGGGGCTTTAAGGATGATCCCATCC